TAACGTTTTATTTTATAAGATACAATATACAAAGTACAAGACAGTTCCCGAGAGACACACCTGGACATATCTAAGCAACTAACAGGAAAAAACGAACCTGGTGAACGTAAGAGAGTTGCTAGAGGTGTGCATGCAAAGAGAAAAACAAAATGATAAATACTTTCAAAGGCGCGTTATATTTTAATTTGAAATTAGTTATAAATCACAAAAATATACTTTCACATCTACATACCTTTTTATTTGAGCAAGTGTATAATGATATAATACCTGTTTAAAATATTATTAAATAAAGTATTAGATTTGTGTTGTTTTATATCAGTGTCATCTGAAACTGTAATAATGAAATAATATACGCGAATACTAATAATGTATATAATATATTTTATTCTTTATTTACTACAACATAGTATTTTTTTTATATTTATTTGAACGTGATTGTATGACAATTATTATGATTGATGCAGTATCTTGTACAATCTGGAAAAGAAATTATTATATAAAAAAGTTATTATTACATCTTTGCTTGTTTTTAACAAAATAATAGTATGTCTATTCTAAATATTAAATTTTTTGTTATAAATATTTTATTTTTAATTTATTGATTTAAAATAGAATCGACGCTTATAAAATTCAAATTTTGGAAACTAATAATTTTTATATTTAATTAAAAGTAACTATACAAACCCATCGTAAAAAATTATAACCAAAATAATAAAATCCAAGTGCAGACATTCTTAATGGTCTTCGTAATAATTGCAATAGAAACTGTGTGATCTGTAAATAATCATGCAATTAAAAAAGCCTAATTTTGATCAAGTATTTACATATAGTAAAATCGCTTACGTTTTGTTGCGTCTCGACATCGAAAGTAAGATTTGTTAATTTATTGATAAACATCTCGGTTTTTTTTGCCTAATATTAATTAAATTTGATTAAATGTAATATTTTAAAGAAGATCAATTATGTTCTTGTTGTTATTAAAATAATGTTAAAGAAACATTTTTGCAACTTTAATTGATATATCTTAACAAATAGCTACACATAAAAACATAGCTAAATAATGTTTTTTTATAAACATCTATATTAAATATATCTTGTTGATATACAAATAGTACATCAATACTAAAATATAGATATACAATATTGTTTTGTTGTTTCTATAATTTATATTTTTATACAAATATACCTTTGCGTAAATTCCTTCACAGACATAATTAAAAGCTACTATTTTTATGATGTTACTTGAAGTCCAAGTACAAAGGACTAAAATATCGATTATCTGTTCATACTTAGTGTATGTACTTATCGTTACGAACATATCATAAAACTGGACAGCATACTGTATTGCAAAAATATATAGCATGGTTGTCTGCATCACCATTTGAAATCCAAATATTATATTTAATTCTCGTGATATCGAGCACAATTCGAGATGTAGATGCCTGTAAAATGTACCTAATGAACGATTACATAAGTAGAAAGTTTAGTAGATTTTTATTTTATATATTTGCGCTTCTCAAACTTATACACACTTATGCATTGGTTGTAAAATCTTTTTTATAAAAATAATACTTTACAAAGCTCCAGCGAAACATAAACATGTATTATTTTTAATCACACAAATCTTCTCCATTTAAAAAAATATTAATACATTTACTGCAAAATTTCTTTATATTTCTTTTATTTCGGATAATAACAATAAATATTTTTTTGTACTTTTTATAAAATTTAATACAATTTTATTTTATTATTGTGTTAAGCAATTCAAGAACTTCTACGTTGTAGTTTCTTTGTACAATTATACTTACATTAAAATCCATATTATTTGCTTACATATTTTGGTACCAGCCATGTGTCGACTAATCAAAGGCAAAGTAGAAATCGTCCAGGCACGTTTTACTCGTTGTTTTTTCTGCTCCGCTAGTTTTTGAACATGTTGATTTATATATTCAAATCGAGATCCGATATATCTGCATCAAAAGTGATATAAAATAATTAATTTTTGCGATACTTATTTTGCAAAAATGATAACTTATTTATATTTTTAAATATATAATACATGGTTCTTTTTGTCTTTCTCTCTCTATTTGTTTATCGCCGTATTTTTCGTTGTAATAAAAATTATTTGTGCGCTCGCGTGTGTGTGTGTACTGTGATGGTATTATATACGCACTGTAATAATATCATGAACATCAGGTCATAAAGTGTAATAATAGAAAATGGATAATTTGAAATTAATGTCGCATATATGGCCATTACAATGTAAGATTTGGGAACACGTCGAATTATCCACAAGCTGTCGATCGCATTCATTACAAGTATTAAAACGATCCATCCAATGATCAGCCATTCAATTTGCATGCGTAAGTTTGTATAATTGTTTGGTGTTCCAAGTTTTTCCAGTGTATTGTTTACAATATTTATCTTATCCAGACATCTCTTGAATTTCTAAAAAAGATATTAAAAAAATGTATTGCAAAGGAGAGAAAACGTATTTTATAAGTTGTGCATATAAAACAAAATATAAATGTTTATAATATTACATATGTCATGTCAAATACTTTCAAAATAACTTGTTTGAAACAAACACACTACAGAAAGCATTATATTCTATTCGTTGAAATTTGTGACGTTTTAAAACTGGATTTATACCTTTTAAAGTCGAGCATGCATATCTTAATGACGTGAAATTATGACATTTTTTTTTCAATATTTATGATGCAATTCAAAATTAACGCATAAAAGTCACAAACACTAACCACAGAAAAAATGTCCGCGTTACTTTTGGATTGCATCTAATTATACACAACTAGAGTTGCATGTCAAAAATTTAGCACGCATTTTAATAACCACAAAATTACTCTGAATTGTCATACCTTATTATAATATAAATTAAACAGCATATATGCTACTGCAAGAATCATAGTAAATCTAATTACGATATACACGCCAATTTCAAAATCTTCAAGAAACACCCAAGTTTTAAACATATTAAAAACGTACAATAGGCATAATATTAATACGTAAATAAATGTAAGATACAGTCTTGATCGACCTTGAGGATACTCAATTACTTCGAATCCGAATAAACACAACATGATCTTAAGGGGAAATATAGCAGCTTGAATGTTCTTCATAGCGACTTCTCGTCGGAGTTAAACTAAAAAAATTCTTCGTGATATTAATCGTCCATTGTGACACTGCGAAATGACTAAATTTACATTGTACAAATGTAAGTTTACATTGACGTTAATATGGTTAGAAAGATAAAGATCTTTATAATTTCAGCAATAAATTGTGCTAGCACTTATGTGGATTAAAAGAATCGATTTGTTGAAAAAAGAATTATTATTTTCAAATTAAACAGATGGAGTACCTAATTAGAATTATTATATAAAGTGAAGGAAATAGAATAAAACAAAATTAATAATGTATACTTACGCTTTTAATAGTATTATAGTTACCTTTGAGAAAAAATAAAAGTAATTTTTGTCAGTTTATAGACTTTTTGGTTTTACATCAAACCTAAAGACTACAGGCATTTGTATTATAATCACCAAAATAGTCGCAATTGATATAGAAAACTGAAAAAATGTGCTTCTATTATAAAAAGCATAGCTTATATTGTAAAGAAAGTTTCGACTATATAAAATAACAATAAAATTCATATAAAATTCATATAATTCAACAGATTAACCAAAATTCTGCATTATTGTTTAGACATTTTTATTACTTGGGAACAATTGTATATAAAATTTGATTTTATTATAATTTATTTATTACAAAATGTAAGACATACCTGACGAAGGAAATTATATCCGAAGTGGAAAAGGCTCATATCAGAAAGTTTTAATTTTTTCTGGTTTACTTGTAGTATAAATTGTAATATCTGAATTTGTATAAACCATATAGATAGCATTATAATATAACATTACATAATTATAAACATAACATATAAAATAGTCTAATCATATATATAAAATCATGCGATAATAATTAACTTGGGCGCGTAATTTTCTGTCGAAACTATGGGAGGGTCTCAACTGCCTACATTCCCATTTGCCAACAGCTTCGTTTGCCCAACATTTTGCCGACAGCTTCAATTGCCGATATTCCCGATTGCCTACAGAGCGATTGCCTACAAGCATTATTGCGCACATTTAAAAATTAAAAATACAAACGTACGTTTGCACACATGACATTATTGCGCATATACACATTGCACACATAATATTATTACGCAAATTCTTTTCATGCAAAACGAGGTTCAACATGGGTTTACAACTTTGTTTGTGAACCTTGGTTAATCTTGTTAGGTTTACCTTGTTAGGTATAATCTGAGTAGGATTTATTATTTGTTTTACGCGGGGGAGAGGCTTCGCCCCGTAGGGGCGAAGTTTTCCGCCGCCTACGCGTGAAATTTCAAAGAAAGCGAAGTTCAACGTGGGTTTACGAGTTTCTACACAAAGCGCAATAATGTCATGTGCGCAATAATGTCATGTGCGCAATGTGTATGTGTGCAATAATGTCTTGTGTGCAAACGTACGTATTTTTAATTTTTAAATGTGCGCAATAATGCTTGTAGGCAATCTCTCTGTAGGCAATCGGGAATGTCGGCAATTGAAGCTGTCGGCAAAATATTGTGGGCAAACGAAGCTGTTGGCAAATGGGAATGTAAGCAGTTGAGACCCTTACTTGATAACATATCTTTGTAATTGTTATTATTGTGCTTATGTTTGAAATAATCGATGTGCTAAAATTATGTACCGTAAGCAAAATAGAGCCGTTGATAACTATGTCATGTATTTTTACACATAAAAAATTTATTTTTTTATCAAATGTGAATATTGTTCTGAGCATACTTATTTCTTTATTTTGTTTTTTTTATACTTGGTGGATTATGTTTGTGATTGATGTTATACACAAAATTTTTACGTAAGGAATAAAGTAATAATGTTTTTTTTAATTAGTATCAATTTAGAATCTAATACAAATAACATTTACAATTGCTTTTTATTTAGTAGTACCTCTTTCATGTGTGGTCCTTGTGGATGTGTTTGTATAACGAATAATATAACCATTGCAATGTAATTCACACACTAGAAAAATTATTTGGTATGTATTACTTTGTATATTAAAATTTTAAAACATACACACACACAATAATCAATATTTGTCTACATATTATTATTATTCTTATAACAATATATATAGTTTTTAATAAATATTTTACTTCTAATATATACCAAATTAAATTTGAATCAACTTATAAGTTTGGAATTTTGAAAACTAGTAACACTATTTATCGAAAAACAAAAGCTACGGACCTCAAAAACAAATTTGTAGCCAAAATAAAAAAGTCTAAATCCAGAAATCTTCAGTGGTTTCCGTAATAATTGCAATAGAAATTGTGTGATCTGTAAATAATTATTTAATTGTGAAAAAGTGTAAATTTGTGTTAATATATATTTACATCAAAATCCTCGCTTACATTTTCCTGTGTGTTGACATCAAAAATAAGATTTGTCAATCCGTTAAGATGTACTTCTGTTTGGTTTGCCTAATGTTAACAGAGTTTTATTAATAATTATGCATATTTAGATTAAAATATGCAGAAGATTTGTTTGTATGGAAATAATAAACATACCTTATTGCAAATTGTTTCACAGATGTAATTAAAGACAACCATTTTTATGATGCCGGTTATAGCCCAAACAAAAATAATGAAAATATGAATCCTTATTCCATTTGGTGTGTCGTAATTTAACATAGTGACTGTGTGATAAAATTCATTAACAAGCTGCACAGTGAAAACATGAAATGCAATTGCTTGCATCAGCATTTGCAATCCAAATATCATATTTAAATCCTGTGATATCGAACACAGTTCGAGATGAATATGCCTGCGACATACACTCAACATAAAAAATATTTTTAGATTATTACGTAAAGGTGTAAACTAATATATATATAAATCTCGATATACTTACATTAAAATCCATATTATTTGCTGGGATATTTCAGTGCCGGCCATGTGACGATGAATCAGAGACGAAGTGAAAGTCGCCCAGGCTTGTCTCACATATCGTTTCTTTTTCTGTATTAATGCTTGAATATGTTGATTGATGTGCTCAAATCGAGATCCTATATATCTGCATCAAATTTAATATACCATAATTAATTTATAATAATCTATAGAATAAATTATTTATAACATGCATATGATCTATCTGATTTATCACGTAATTAATTTTTCTTATATTATTATATTATATTATATTATATGTATATATATATTCTTATGTATATTATGTACGTAATTATATATTGTATTCCAGTAAAAACAATTTCTTTAGTGTAATGCCATGTATACAAACACTAGTAGTGTCATAAACGTCAGATCGTAGAGTGCATTGACATGAAGTGGATGATTCATTATTAACGGTATAACTATTGCCATTGCCGTAGGTTCAGGAAATATCATAAAAAATCGCAAAATATCGACCATGTTCATTACAAAAATCGAAACTATCCATCCAATGATCACCCATATTATTCGCATCCGCAACTTTGCATAATTTTTCGGCGTTCCAAGCTTCTTCAATGTATCGTTTACGATATTTAATTTTTGCAAACAACTCTTAAATTTCTAAAAAACAGATAAATACGTTAAATTACAAAAAGAGAAAGACGTTTTTGAAAAGTATACATATAAAATAGGATAGAAGTATTCGCAGCATTAAAAATAGTCTTAAATAATATTATATTAAAGTATAAAAAAATGGCTAAAAGATGTTTGAGTATCGATGACATTAAGATACTTTTAAAATATACAGTAGCATTTTAAATAATGCAATATTTTAGATCTTCATGATTTTGGTGTAGATATTTTATATTACACTACATAGTTTTGAGGATAGTGTAAATTTATTTGTTAAAATGTTTACTGAGATAAACACATTTCACTGCATCACGTTTGTAATGTTTTACAAAAAAATTGTAATTGGTTTCGCGCTACTTTGAAAAGGATTATTACATAGTATAGTAACATAATTTTTAAATATTATTTTTCAATACATATTACGATAATGCGGCACTGCGACAGTGTAGAAAAAAATATGAAGAAGTCATTTCCTTTCTGCAATTTTCAAAATTATGCCGAATTATTATCATACCTTGTTATAAAACAAGTTAAGAAGTATATACAGCACTGCAAAAACTATACTAGTTTTAGCACTCATGGACAATCCCATAAAATAGCTTCGAAGAAATAGTTCCACTGTGATAATGATATAAATGTAAACCAGCCAGGATATCAGAATGTAAAATATAGTGAGATATAAGCTTGGTCGACCATGATACTCAAACACTCCGAGTCCGCATAAACACAGTACGATCAAAAGTGGAGTAATAGCCGTTTGAAAAGTTTTCATGACAAATTTTCTTACAACGAATTAAAAGAAAAGGTTTATTTTGTGTTTCAATATTGAATGACTGTTGTTTTGCAATGTGAGATGATAAAATTCACTTTGACGTTGATATCGGAACAATAATGAAAATAATTGCAGTAATTTGTGTCGGTATTTATGCAAATTGCAAAAAATTGATCTGCTAAAAGAAGGGTCATTACGAATTAAATAGGCGGAGAAAATTGCCGTGAAACAAAATAATAATCAAATATGATAAATAAGCAGATTGCATGTTTTATACTAAGCAAAAAAGGTTTATAAATAACAAAGGTTGCTCGTGACTTTTTTGTTTTCTACTATAGAGTTTTCATTAGGGAATAATAACGTTTTATTTTATAAAATACATTATACAAAGTACAAGACAGTTCCCGAGAGACACACCTGGACATATCTAAGCAACTAACAGAAAAAATCGAACCTGGTAAACATAAGAGAGTCGCGAGAGGTGTGCATGCAAAGAGAAAAACAAAATAATAAATACTTTCAAAGGCGCGTTAATATTTTAATTTGAAATCAGTTATAAATCACAAAAATATACTCTCACATCTACATACCTTTTTATTTGAGCAAGTGTATAATGATATTATACCTGTTTAAAAAATTATTGAATAAAGTATCAGATTTGTGTTGTTTTATATCAGTGTCATCTGAAACTGTAATAATGAAATAATATACAGGAATACTAATAATGTCCATAATATATTTTATTCTTCATTTACTTCAACATAGTATTTTTTTTATATTTATTTGAACGTGATTGTATGACAATTATTATGATTGATGCAGTATCTTGTACAATCTGGAAAAGAAGTTATTATATAAAAGAGTTATTATTACATCTTTGCTTGTTTTTAACAAAATAATTGTATGTCTACTCTAAATATTAAATTTTTTGTTATAAATATTTTATTTTTAATTTGTTGATTTAAAATAGAATCAATGCTTATAAAATTCAAATTTTGGAAACTAATAATTTTTATATTTAATTAAAATAACTATACAAACCCATCGTAAAAATTTATAACCAAAATAATAAAATCCAAGTGCAGACATTCTTAATGGTCTTCGTAATAATTGCAATAGAAACTGTGTGATCTGTAAATAATCATGTAATTAAAAAGACTTAATTTTGCTCAAGTATTTACATATAGTAAAATCGCTTACGTTTTGTTGCGTCTCGACGTCGAAAGTAAGATTTGTTAATTTATTGATAAACATCTCGGTTTTTTTTGCCTAATAATAATTAAATTTGATTAAATTTTAAAGAAGATCAATTATGTTCTTGTTGTTAATAAAATAATATTAAAGAAACATTTTTGCAACTTTAATTGACATATCTTAACAAATAGCTACACATAAAAACATAGCTAAATATTGTTTTTTTATAAATATTTATTTATATTAAATATATCTTATTGATATACAAATAGTACATCAATAGTAAAATATAGATATATATTATTTTGTTGTTTCTATAATTTATATTTTTACAATTTATATTCTTACAAACATACCTTTGTGTAAATTCCTTCACAGACATAATTAAAAGCCACTATTTTTATAATGTTACTTGAAAACCAAGTACAAGGGACCAAAATATTGATTATCAGTTCATAATTAGTGTATGTATTTATCGTTACAAATATATCATAAAGCTGGACAGCAAACTGTATTGTAAAAATATATAGCAGAGTTGTCTGCATCACCATTTGAAATCCAAATATTATATTTAATTCTTGTGATATCGTGCATAATTCGAGATGTAGATGCCTGTAAAATGTACCTAATGAACGATTATATAAATAGAAAGTTTAGTAGATTTTTATTTCATATATTTGCGTTTCTCAAACTTATACATACTTATGGTATGCATTGGTTGTAAAATCTTTTTTATAAAAATAATATTTTACAAAGCTCCAGCGAAACATAAACATATTATTTTTAATCACACAATTCTTTTCCATTTAAAAAAATATTAATACATTTACTACAAAATTTCTTTATACTTCTTTTATTTCGGATAATAACAATAAATATTTTATTATACTTTTTATAAAATTTAATACAATTTTATTTTATTATCGTGTTAAGCAATTCAAAAACCTCTACGTTGCAGTTTCTTTGTACAATTATACTTACATTAAAATCCATATTATATGCTTACATATTTTGGTACTAGCCATGTGTCGACTAATCAAAGACAAAGTAGAAATCGTCCAGGCACGTTTTACTCGTTGTTTTTTCTGCTTTGATAGTTTTTGAACATGTTGATTTATATATTCAAATCGAGATCCGATATATCTGCATCAAAAGTGATATAAAATAATTAATTTTCGCGATACTTATTTCGCAAAAACGATAACTTATTTATATTTTTAAATATTTAATACATGGTTTTTTTTTGTCTTTCTCTCTCTATTTGTCTATCGCCGTATTTTTCGTTGTAATAAAAATTATTTGTGCGCGCGCGTGTGTGTGTGTACTGTGATGGTATTATATACGCACTGTAATAATATCATGAACATCAGGTCATAAAGTGTAATGATAGAAAATGGATAATTTGAAATTAATATCGCATATATGGCCATTACAATGTAAGATTTAGGAACACGTCGAATTATCCACAAGCTGTCGATCGCATTCATTACAAGTATTAAAACGATCCATCCAATGATCAGCCATTCAATTTGCATGCGTAAGTTTATATAATTGTTTGGTGTTCCAAGTTTTTCCAGTGTATTGTTTACAATATTTATCTTATCCAGACATCTCTTGAATTTCTAAAAAAGATATTAAAAAAATGTATTGCAAAGGAAGAAAACGTATTTTATAAGTTGTGCATATAAAACAGAATATAAATGTTTATAATATTACATATAGTGTCATGTCAAATACTTTCGAAATAACTTGTTTGAAACAAACACACTATAGAAAGCATTGTATTCTATTCGTTGAAATTTGTGACGTTTTAAAACTGGATTTATACCTTTTAAAGTCGAGCATACATATCTTAATGACGTGAAATTGACATTTTCTCTTCAATATTCATGATGCAATTCAAAATTAACGCATAAAAGCCACAAACACTAATCACAGAAAAAATGTCCGCGTTACTTTTGGATTGCATCTAATTATACACAACGAGAGCTGCATGTCAAAAATTTAGCACGCATTTTAATAACCACAAAATTACTCTGAATTGTGATACCTTATTATAATATAAATTAAACAGCATATATGCCACTGCAAGAATCATAGTAAATATATTTATGATATACACGCCAATGTCAAAATCTTCAAGAAACACCCAAGTTTTGATCATATTAAAAGCGTACAATAGGCATAATACTAATACGTAAATGAATGTGAGATACAGTCTTGATCGACCTTGAGGATACTCAATTACTTCGAACCCAAATAAACACAACATGATCTTAAGGGGAAATATAGCAGCTTGAATGTTCTTCATAGCGACTTCTTGTCGGAGTTAAACTAAAAGAATTCTTTGTGATATTATTCGTCTATTGTGACACTGCGAAATGATTAAATTTACATTGTACAAATGTAAGTTTACATTGACGTTAATATGGTTAGAAAGATAAAGATCTTTATAATTTCAGCAATAAATTATGCTAGTACTTATGTGGATTAAAAGAATCGATTTGTTGAAAAAAGAATTTTTATTTGCAAATTAAACAGATGGAGTACCTAATTAGAATTATTATATAAAGTGAAGGAAATAGAATAAAACAAAATTAATAATGTATACTTACGCTTTTAATAGTATTATAGTTATTTTTGAGAAAAAATAAGAGTAATTTTTGTCAGTTTATAGACTTTTTGGTTTTATATCAAACATAAAGACTACAGGCATTTGTATTATAATCACCAAAACAGTCACAATTGATATACAAAACTGGAAAAATATGCTTCCATTATAAAAAGCATAGTTTATATTGTAAAGAAAGTTTCGACTAATGTAAAATAACAATAAAATTCATATAAAACATATAATTCAACATATAATGATCAACCAAAATTCTACATTATTGCTTAGACATTTTTATCACTTGGGAAGAATTGTATATAAAATTTGATTTTATTATAATTTATTTATTACAAAATGTAAGACATACCTGACGAAGGAAATTATATCCGAAGTGGAAAAGGTCCATACCAGAAAGTTTTAATTTTCTCTGGTTTACTTGTAGTATAAATTGTAGTATCTAAATTTGAATAAACCATATAGATAGCATTATAATATAACATTACATAATTATAAACATAACATATAAGATAGTCTAATCATATATATAAAATCATGCGATAATAATTAACCTGGGTGCGTAATTTTCTGTCGAAGCTATCATTGGATAATTTGTAAAGAATAGCTGTTGTCTCGTTTGCCTGAAATTACGTAAACATTGATAAAAATTGTAACATTACACAGTCAAAAGTTTTACGTAAAATAAATAAAATCAAGTAGCTTAAGTAACAATTAGCTCAATTTTTTAATATATTCTTTATAGCTTCTTTATATCTATTATTCTTTTTATTAATTAAATTAGTTATAATTAAATAATGTTTATTTAATTTGTTACCTTATTACAGACAGTTTGACAGATATGATTGAATACGAGAAATTGTGCGCAATATATGGATATCCAGAGGTAAATACACACGCTATACGTGAATTGTGCATTTGTATTGATAATATATGAATTTTTGTTTACATATAACATATAATATAGAAGAAACATTTCTATGAAAAGTGTGAAATAAGTTGCCATTTGTAGAGTCATTTGTATACTAAATACTTTGTTTAGTTCACGTGATATGAGACATAACTTCAAATGAACGTGCCTACAATTCAATCGTGACTGTTATAAAAAAATCAAATACAGATATGTACGCAAGTAATACAAGTATATATACATATATAAAAGAACGTAGAAAACATTTAATTTAAGTTTTCAAAATAATATGTATTATGTAAAAAATTACATTATAATCCATATGTACTGTCTGCATTTTGTTGTTTTTATTTTTCGCTGATTAACTGAAATTAATTTGTTTTGTGTTCTAATACGCTCTGTGTCGTCGATCAGATTATGAATGTGTTCATTAATTCTTTGAAATCTGGAACCTATATATCTGAACATAATGAAGAAAGTTAAGAAGAAATCAAATGTTTTTAGTTATATTAATAATAATAATAATAATGTTTTAATATTTTAATAATAAAAATTTTTTAATTATTTTTTAAAACCATTTTGCACTTATCAAAATAAAAATACTAATAAAATTTTATTTAGTGTCACATTAAATATCTTAGACTTATTTATAAAAAACATTAACATTAAGATTAATTAGAATATAAGGCTCTGGTGATTGTTAAATCAAATCAAATCAATAAGGAGCGTAAAGAGCCACTTTATATAGAATATCTTAGAACTAAGATATTCAAGTTCAACATGTAAAGACATCTGGTCTTAACTTTTCCACCTCGTTTTTTCTACTTGGGCGAGCGCTTCTCCATCATGCAATTAATACAATCCTATCTAATTTATTAATGAACTACAATATGATTGATAAAGGATTGCAAATACATCTTCCACATCTTTTAATTATTTAAGCATTGCAAGCAAATTTTATATTTTATTGTATCTTATTTTGTACATTAAAGAAGGCCTGATGGCAGACTGAAACGTTTGTAAACATTTTTAACGAATATATTATAACCTTTGCACGAAGATCTAGCATTGTGGCTCTTTACGCTCCTTATTGATTTGATTTGAATTAACATTAAGCTTTTTAAGAAAATTTTTGGGAAACATCGTAAAAAAATGACACTACGATACCCATATGTATTTACTGACCTTAAAATAATTCCACATGTCATACTATTGAAAATGTTGACATGCAGCAAATGATTTCCCACAAATGCAACAAAAATACGAATAATGAAATAATCGCAATTGAACCAAAAACCGTCCGATATATTTACAAGAAAAGTCAATACGATCCATCCGATTAATATTCGAATTATCCTATTATACAGTTGTCGATATTCTTTTGGTGTTCCAAGTGCTTCCAATGTATCGTCCACAATGGAAATGTTATGCAAACATGTATTTAGTTTCTGAAAAAGATGTTTTTAAGAAAATAATATAAGCACTAATTGCGCAATATCTTAAAAAAGAAATTAGTAATCTCGTATTAGAATGTGTTGTTAAAGAAGTGTTTTTTTTATTATTATTAGCTTGGTAACATATAAAATTAGACAAATTAAGATACAGAAAGAGAGAGTAATTTAGAGAGATACACACACATATTAAGATTAATAATAATACAAATATATTGAAAAAAATTCAAACGTATCTAAAAAATTTTTATTCTATAAATGTATCAAAAAATTAATTCTCGACATAAAAAAAATCTCGAATTTATGTTAATTTAAAGATACTATTATATTTGAAATATATGCGTAAAATTCTTACCTTAAAATAAAATAGATTGATAGGTATCGATATAATTGCGCTGAGTATTATTATTTTAGTAGGCCAGGACATGTATATTAACCACATAGAATTGCTGAGATAGATAAAATAGTAAAAAAGATACGCATGAAGGCTCCATGTGACCAAAAAGTATAGACAAGTGAGATATGGCCTGAATCGTCCGAGAGGATATTCGAAGAAGCCCAAGCCGCAAAGCGAGCCGATGTTTAATAATGGTAAAAC